TAGATCAGGGCTAATAGTTTTTCACCAAGTAACTGAAACAATCCCATGAACAGCAGGATGCTGAGGTTCTGAGTGACAACACAGGTTTTTGAACCATCATTTTTGAATTGCAGGTACTCAAAACACCTTTTCTCTTCCAGTAACTTAGAAATCTGCATCCAAAGCTTAAAACAGATTGAAGAGGAATAAAGAACCCTTGCGTTCAAGCATGTGATGCAAACCCTTAGCTAAACACTACACTGCATCAGGATTTGCAGGCAGAAGTTATTCGGTCTTCATAGAACGGATGTGTCTTCAAAGATCCTAAACTGAAGTTCAGCTCCCCCTCCAGTTCCTCCCAGCCACATACATCTGTTAAAAACATCTTGCTAGGCTTAATTTCTGAAGCCAATCTCATTTCAGTAGAAACTGACTAAAAATATAATAGAACACATACTAAACCCATGATAAATACAGATCCCTGATCTTCTGACAAGGCAGAAGAATAGCAACGGGTAGCAATTACAAGCAAGTGCTCCTGCATCACGTTTCCAAACTCCCCTCCGCTTCAACTCTTCCTCCCATCTGTTTAAGCATAATAAAACATTCAATATTGAACACAAAATGGAAGTCTCATATGGCAGGCAATCTTATGTGTAAAATATAACACTATGAAGACTGAGATCTCAGGCACATTTTACAATATCTATTATGAAAACCAAATCATATTGCAGTCATTTAAAAGTGTCTGATCAGCTTCTAAGGCTTCATTCAGGGGTCTCAAAGTAATTTAATAAGATGTATAGCTTGCATAGTTGTAATCATTGGAACAAAATACACAGGTGCAGACTGCCTCAATGAAAGTGTCCCAACATGGGTTAGACTGCATTTCCATCTCACTGCGACACAAGCATGGGACAAAACCACCTGAGTACCCAAGAGATGTTTTGTTCCCAAAAAAAAAACAATCCTTGTTCCATCCTTGCAACAGAAGAAATCCAAACGATGACAGTAATATGTCATTAAGCACCCAGCACATCGCTGCTGCTAGTTATCCAAAAGGAAATGCAGCATAAATACAGCAGAATTCAGTGCAAGAGTCTGCGACGGTGTGGTGTATTAGATGCCAGTTACACTCCCGCAGGTACTGGACAGCAGTAACTGAGGATTTTTTTCCTGTACAGACTTACAACTCATAGCAAAAAAAGGGATTTAGAGGATCAACGGAGGCCTTTAAATACCTCAAGAAACATCCTTAGGCAAGGCACCAGCTTTTCAAGCTGTGCTATGACTGCCACGTTCACTAGATGGGTTCAGCACTACATCCAAACGGGAGAATCTAATTTGCTGTCTGATCAGCAAGCATTTCGAAAAAACATGTAGCAGTTGAAACAGCTCCGCATGGAAGAGATTTACAGAACCATAACTTTCCAAATAATTTTGAGAGCAGCAATCCTGGATATCGAATGAGACACAGGAAAAAAAAAAAATATCAGTCATTCAAGAAAACACCTGCACCACAAACAGCTCTCAAACAGGAGCAAGGTCAAACAGCAGATCTGAGACAGATTTAGACTTCGCAGCAAACCCAATAATCCAAATAACCAGTGTTGCTCTAACATGTAGTCAGGTTTGGATTTTTTTTTTCTTGGAGGTTTCCTTTCTAAGCACTAACCAGATTCATTCTATTTAGCTTGCAAAATCGGACAAGATCACAGCCTGAAGGGGAAAGGCTGTGGTGATAAATATTTAATGGACTACATCAATAAAATTTATTTTGCCAAGGAGAATGGAAGGAGAGGAAAAGCAGAGAAATAATTCATTAAAAGAACTTCAGCTTAGCAATGACAGAAAAAAAGCCACGCTAGGAAAAAAGGAATTAAACACCAAGAGGTTTTAAATAGGTCAGAAGCTTAAATACTCTTAACACATGGCAAACTGACAGAGCTGAGTTTTTCAGAGCGAGAGTACAGTGGTATGTATACTTAACAGTAATTCATGCCATTGCAAATAAATATCCCTGGATGCACTAGTAACAGTTTCAACTTCTTGCCATACTTCATATCATCCAACCTTTAAGACCTTTTCATTACATGAAAATGACATTGCTCAAAATCCATTAAGAAATGCAACAAGCACCTTGAAGTGTCCTTTATTTCTCCAGGCAATAGTTTTCCCTATTTCATATTGGATGGGGCAGCAAGTTATGTTTTCCAGAAGACAAAAATGCAACAAGAAGAATCAAGGTATTTAGTAGAAAGTTGAAACATTCTTCTACTGCAGTGCTCCCCATAACTCAGTATAGAGTTTAGGATTTGCATCTTACATCACAGAATTTGCAAAAAGAAATGTTTAATCTCTCCTTCCTGCCACTATTTGAAATGATTTGCAGTGATACAAGAGCATACAGCACTTCAGTATGTCTTGTAACACCTTTTCCACTTCACTCTCCTGCGCATTCCACTCCGGACCTCTTACAACCAGAAGTCAGCAGAATGGGCAAGGACCAACCTCAGAAGCTGTTGTGCTTATCCTATCGGAACAACTCCAGGAATCCATTAATTCTCAGGTTCTAATTCTAGATCTGTCAATGACTTGCTATATGGCTTTGAATCACTGGATTTGAGATGATTTTTTGGGTTTTTTTACAAGTGGAGAAGCACATACTGTGTAAAGAGGGGCACAGTCTCAGGACAAGCTGATTAAATGGTATTAAAATACTTCACAGCTACTTCAGTGAGATTTGGTAAAAGACTTAATATATTTTAAAACCTACCTTTATAGAAGTCTTAGATTTAACAGTATTGTGGATGAAGTCACAACACCTAAACCTTCCTAACAATCAAAATAGAAAGATGATTAAAAAAAGGCAAGTTGTGTCCACAGTCACAGCCTTGCTCACCAGCAGTGCTATCATGGGACAAACTGTTCAGTAACACAAGGCTGTCAAGTCTACAAATGTGATTAAGCGCTGCCCTCTAGTGCACCCACCAGCCAGTTTCAGCATCTAGACTGCTGAAGTTCAACACAAATCTCAGTCCCAGCCAGATTTTAGCTAGGTTTGTTGGTAACAGACGAATCCTACACCGAGGAACTTAATAAAGTGTGCTTATGATTTAATTTTACTCTTCCATATTAGGGTCTTTAGGTTTAGCACTGCAATAAGGTTAAATGCTGGAGTCATTTTAACATCTCCACAGCATATTCTGCTTTTTTCTCTGGTTTGTGAAAGTTCTCATCTTACAATTAATCACTGGCAAAGCCATTTTAAAAATACAGAAAACACAATATTCTATTTTTAAAAACAGTACAAGTATTTAACAACAGGCTCGTATCTTTGACATTTTTGATAGGGTTCTAGAATTAGCTTTTTCTCATGCTCAAGAGTACCTCTTTTGTAATGCCACTTTCACTGAAGGCTTAAAGACTTCACTACTCATTACTGGAGCACCTTGACTCTCTTGACGTTACTGCCCAAAAAGCTCCCTCATGCGAAGTGGACAGACATAGTAGTCACAATTTATTCTCAAAGTGGGGTTTTTGTTGTAGCAGATTCTCATTCAACTTACGGTTCATGTATTTAAAAAGTAAGAGGTGGCCACTTCAGGAACAAAGCAATCAGAGGTGTGGTATTTGGCATCAGATGAAGAACCATTAACAACATCTGTAAAGCAGTCCTTGCTAGGCAACCCTAATGGTATCAGAATTTCACAATTCATTTAAAAACCAAGTATGAAGTGATGCTCGGGAAGCTTTGCTTTCACAGAAACATAAGAACGACATCTTCCTTAGGAATTAAAACCACATTACACGCAGTTGTAAAAAAACCACAGGAGGCAGTAAGCACAACTGAGGGTGCTGTTTCCCACTGTTGGATTTAGGCTATCTTTAAGCTATAGCTGGCCCATTAAGTTGAGCCAAACTACAACGCCTGCATCAACAGGGTTTCAAGATAGTTTGCTCCTCCAGTCACCAAAATGCTGTTTCCAACCCATTCTCGCATGAACCTGGCTGATGGAAAAGCTCAAGCTAAATGCACGGAGCGGAGGTTACAGCTTACACAAAACTAATGTCTTCTGTTTCAGCATTGGAATACTTCATATGCTCATAATAACTAAAGACATTTAAGTGCTTCTTGAAGGTATTAGCTCAAACCCCAGCCATTAAAATCTATTTAGTCATTTGCTTACACCAAACATTGGAAAAAGTTGAAACAACTTGCCTGGAAACTTCTCAGGTACATTTATTAAGGCAGAACATTCAAAACCACATATGTTACATTACTATTTTTGAACTTCCATATAAAATTAAAAAAAAACTTCTTTGATTTTGTCAGCATACTTGTATCTGCAGGTTCCACCACCTGGGGAAAAATCAGTACAGAGAATTTCGTTAGTATCTTCCAAATATTTAGCCATCTTAAAATTTCATGCAAGCTTAACATGCAGAAGACTTATCTGCTTCCAGTCTCAATAAGTTTAGCTTCCAATCATTAACACGTTTTGGGTCAAACAGAACTACTGTACTACTGTGAAGGCTACAGGTCTTGCCAGTTTCCCAAGAGAAGGTTAAAGTGTACAATAAAATCATCTGCACACAAGCTACGCTTTAAACTTCAGTAATTTATGTAATCTACATATGAAACTATGCACACTCACATGGGCTCACTTACATGACTTCATAGCAAGATCAAGCCAAGTATCTGCCATCCTACAGCTGTTTTTAACACTGCCTATGAGTTTGATTTAAATATATTCAGATTTTTAAAACTCCTCTCAACAGCACTGAGCAGCAGTTTAGTCGAACTACCAACTCCCTGCAAGAGTATTATTAGAAAAGCTGAGACTGACAAGACAAGCCTGACTCTTGCCCGTCATTACGTGAGTGATGCAGACAGAATACTGCATAATCTGAAACTGCTAAGAATTTCTTGTCACCACCTGTAAAGAGGTGGAGGTAGCAAATGAAAATAAGGTTCCTTAAGGCAATGTTGTCAGGAGTTCTAATGCTATGTTTACCCCAGTTACTGGTCCATTGTCTCCTGTATCTTCTTTTAAAAATCTGAATAATGTTTCAGCCTGAAAAAAAAAAAGTTGGTATTTAAAACTTTTCAGTAACCTGTTGAGTGAACAACACAAAACAGCAACAATTATTCAGCAGTGTTGCTTAGAGTTTCTTAGCTAATCTGAAACACAGGCATAGCAAAAGACAGCAATCATCCACATGCCAGATTTACTTGAAGTGACATTATAATATGTAGTTCAAGTTCAAATGAAGGATGCATCACAACATTTATTCACATTTTTAGACTTGCTTGGGAGTCTTTTTGTAAATTCTCCCTGTCAGACTTCATAAATCATTAAAATCTCACACCAAAAATACAACGTTTTTCAAGTATCACAAAGTTATTTAGCTTAAAAAAAGAAACAATCCTCCTGTGAGTTATTATCGCTCCTTACCTCGACCACACCAGCAGAAAAAAAGAAACACCACCTCTCCAGTCTCACAGACATCAACCACTGAGTTCTAGTTCCACGTTAAAACTAGGATTTTAGAATCTAATTGCCAGCTGGTGATGTCCTCACAATAAACCATGAATTCTTGCCATATGCACTACCCAGCACATGCAGCAACGCTTCAAACCTCGATGAGCCAGAACACTGATCACAGGACCACAGCATGGCTGAGGCTGGGAGGGATCCCTGGAGGCCACCACCTGGTCCAACCCCCCCTGCCCCAACACAGGGCCACCCAGACAGCTGCCCTGGACCACATCCAGCCGGCTTTGGAGCATCTCCAAGGACGGAGTCTCCACAACCTGCCTGAGTAACCCGTGCCAGCACTGAGTCACCCTCTCTCCAAAGATGCTATTCACCCTGCCTTTACAACTAGAACAAACCCATGCCAGATTACACTGGCATGTTAGCACTGAAGCACAGATCTTTTAATCCTCTGAATGACTTTTTTTTTAATGTAGAGAGCACCCAGTATCTGACTTTTTACATACTAGTTACCTTTTAGAAAGGACAATGACGGTTTTGACAGGGATGTCTCCAGCAATGTAGATTTCATAATCAGACAATAAACAAGGCTCATTCTCCAGAAAGGAAAGCCAGATCCACACTCACAGGTGAAATTCAGATCACAAAGTCAAACCCTATAATTTACCAGTAATCTGCCCCATCTTACAGAATATAAGCACGTTATCCAGAATTAACAAACCTAACTTAGTACATACCTAAATAACAAAGCTTTGCCTTTGTTGTTTCCTATAGAGAAAAAACCACTTCTGGGAGAAAAGTCCATAGACTGAGCAAGGTAAATCTGTTTTCTTCTGAACACTGGGAAGTTTGAGAATACAGTATATGAAGGAATGTGTACCTATTGAGAAATAGGTCATTAGTTATAACAATTAGGAAAAAGCCACTAAAATTCAAATTAAAGTACAAATTTAAAACTGAAGGTCAATGTTAAGTTCAAATGTTCAGTTATATTCCTATCTTACACCACTCTATAATAGAGTGTTCTACTGGAGAAAAGGTGCAGGAAACACTATGAAGCCAGTTATTGCAACTCATTTATTTTTAAGTAATTACATCTAAGCACTAAAAATAGGCTTCCAAACCTTCAGATTAATTCAATAGTTTCACTGTTGGCCAGAATTCTGACAAGGCTGGCAAAATTTTGAATGAGCTAGGAAAAACATGACATACTAAGACCATTACAGTTAACTGCTGCTGAAAATTCACGTTTGCTGCTGCGTTTTATTTACAGAACTGAAATCAGGGTATTTTTAAAAAGGAAAACCAAAAAGTGAACTAGACCGTAAGATGTTACTTTCAGAACAACTTCCCTGAAGAAAAAAAAGATTTCCTTATAAATGTACAGTATCTTAGGCATGTCCTGACCTGCTCGGTCTAGCAAATTTTGCAGTATACTTCTCTGCTCAATATCAGTTTTATTATGCCACCAGGAACATTTTTGATCAAGATAAAAACAAACTTGTACTAAAGAAGCTGAACATACCAATTTGACAGCCTCATCAGTTTCACGGGAAGCCACTGCCAAAATTTCTGTGGTGGGATTGAAGGTCACACACGTAGCAGATGTAACCAGGTTCATTATGGCTTTAACTGGTTTTGGGTGGTTTTCTTTAAGACAGACATCGGTAGTATACAAATTTACAACTCCAGAAGCTGAACTGAAAAAAGAAATTAACAAAGAGTATAGCAAGAAGCAGCACTTACAGTACATGTTACCTTGTTATCTACAGCCACCATTCAACTGCAAATGTAATTTCCAATTACTTACTGGAGCTTGAAATGCTAGTTTGTTTGGAGCTTGATTTTGGAGTTTGTAACAGTATTTAGTGCAGAGGTTTTGTTTGGGGTTTTTTTATTTGTATGTAAAGAGACACACTTAACTGTGGAGAGCCTTGATAAGCCCATCTCTTACGTAAGATGAATTCAAAGCAATGAGAGCTTGGTACCAAAAGATTCTGAAATAGTTTCAAGCTTTTGGGGTGGGTTTTTTTTTTTTAATACCCTGTATAGTAAGTCCACTTCAAAATCCTCTTCTACAGTGGGCTAAGAAAATGCATGCTGTACTTAAGTATTTGCTAGTCTCATTTAAAAGAATTGATACACTAGCTGAAGTTGCATCTCCATGAGTATACTTGGAGAAATACTTCCAAGCTTGTGGCTTTGAGTTGAGGCATCATTTCAAATGCTAACATGCCATCTTGAAGAAGCCAAATTAAGAGTATAGGAAAGAACTAAAATAGGGTGAAGATGTTTTGTACTATAGAATTTGCGATTTCAGTCAGTGTGATTTCAAAATTAACTGCTAAATCCATCTACGGCAACAGTAATAAATTAGGAGTGATACTGGTATTAAGTGTGTTCTGGTTATTTTCTATATACACAAAACAAATTACATTACCAGAAATCAGGCAATATTCAGCTATCCACCTCTACTCTAGCCTTCTTAAAGCCAAACTTATTCCATCTTCCGACACCCTCAACAGCCACCAATAAGTTTACTGAAGAGCTTCAAACTGAGATACAAAGAATTTGTCAAATTTAAGTCACTTACCCACATGCCACATACTGGTTATTTCTTGAAAGAGCGATGCACTTTCCTTCCAAAGAACCTTCATCTTCAAATTTGTGTAGACACTTCCTGCTTCTCACATCCCAAATGAAAACTTCGCCTTCCTCTGGTTGCAGGATAAAGTAGATTATAGAGACCACATACACACAACACATTGTTTATTTTGTTAAAATAAATATCATTAGATGACAACTATTAGCTCACTTATAACTACCAAACATAGGGTATTTTTTAAAAAGCAACTAAAGGCATACTAAAATAGTTAACTCCATTCTTTAACGATTGATCACTTGGTTGTATTTTTAAGACAGATACTGGCACAAAGTCTTTTAATTATCCTTGTGAAACAATAAATTACTTGTAAAAACTTAACTGTAAAAACTGTAATTTAACTGGAATTATGATTAGCACTATTAGAGAGAATACTTACTTGAATAACTATATATTTTACTGCTATCTGGAGTGAAAGCAGATGCACCGCATCTTCCATTTACCTTCATAGTGCTTACGAGTTCCTTTGTCTATAGGATGAAGAACAATAATGGTGACAATGCATCTGCCAAGATATCTGTAGGAGAGTTGTTTCCATACTCCTGTCCCACAAAAATCTAAAGTTAGCTACACTGACATTAAAAGACCAGCATCAATATGTTCAGTGCCTACAGACCAGAGCACAAGCTGATGCTCATGAGTCCATGATCAATTTATTATTGCACATCTACAGCCGGTTCAACAAACACTCATTTGCTCCCTCACTGAAGGGTCTTCATTATGTAGCAGAACTGAACCTTCTTTCTAAAATGCGTTTTTCCCAGTAAAAGTTTAAAACAAATCCAGCTGCCATCACATGGCTTTTTAAAATTTAACAGAAAAAATTCTGTGTGCATTATGAATCACAGTAAATGGCATGATTCACGAACATGGTACACCAGCATGCACTCGCGCTATTCCCAAAAAAGCAGTCCTATATTTCTTCCACCCTCAGATGTCTGTTTCCATGCTGAGGCAATTCCTTTTGCCAGCACAGCGTTCGTGCCATCAGCTGAAATACAGCACTGACATACGACTTTTTCCAGTGACAGCTTAAAAACCCACAAAACTCTGGCCTTGGCTCCACCAGTTTGAAAGAGAACTGTATAGGCTGAAAAACATTCTCAGACACCCCAAAATAATTTTCTAGAGCTATAATTAGTTGGATCAGCAGCTCATTTTTGAAGGCTGTCACAGCATGTGTCATACCTTTGCTTCAACTGAAAGCTAGATTGATTTTCAGATAAAATATAAGCCAGCAGACCCAAAAGCAAAAAGGTACCAAGAAACTGAAGCTACAGGAACCATGAAGAGAAACTACCTTCATTGACAACAGGTGAAGGTAACCAGACGTTCCAGTTAAAAGCATAAATGATCCATCTGGAGAGATTTCGAAGTTTCTGAGAAATCTTTCCTCCACACCTTCAAAAAAAGATTCAGAACTTCAAACTGGCATAATTTATTCTTTTTCCTCAACATTCAGACGTAGTATGAGTATTAATAAGACTTGACTCCACTCGACTTTTCATTTCTGTTATACGCTGTCACAGTAAAGCTACAACTCAACCTTGTTTATGTGTGACAATTAACCTGTAATATCCCAGACAAACTAAAGCTACAGGTACTCGACTAAAGATCCCTGAGGACAAGTTAAAAATGCTACCTCCAACAACGGACTGCACTTCCTTTCAAAGCAAACTCATATGCCATCTCTATTTGGGACAGTTTCAACTATGCCAAGACACTTAAAGCACTATAAAACATACCTCTTACTCTCTGTATAGGAATAATACTTCCACTCATCATGTCATAGACAAAGAACATTTTGTGGTGAGTACCAGTGGCTATAACTTGTTCTCCATCAACACTGAAACAAGCCTTATAGATCGGAAAACTTTCTAAATAGATGCTCTGTATTCTTGGATTCCTTATACCATCAACCTTCAAAAAAACAGATTACCACGTTAAGGAACATGCCAAATACTTTTACATAGAAAATTCGTATCAACTATCCAGTACAAGAGACTTAGAACAGTCAGAGGTACACTAATTTGAAACATTAATATCTTCCTCCCTTCTCTATCCACAAACCTGGCTCTTGGCTCCTCACACGATGTACCAGTTACTCCCAGCCTTCCTGCACATACTTCACACCTCTTACCCTTCTCTGTCATGCCCATGCTTTGTCCAAATAACCCCTTCTACTGCGCTTTTCTAAATGGAAACATTTGCTTTGCATTGTTCTTTCCTGCAGCCCTGTGGGAGTGTCAAATTCAACTTGTGTCTTTGACCATTTCACTGGTACTGGACCATGCTGAAATTTTCTAAACAGAGTTATGATCTTTGGTTTTCAGAGGAGCAGGGCAGGAGTGTCCCAGGATAAGTAGCTTCCTGCTGCAGTACAGTCTATCCCCAGAACGATTTCACAGCAATATTACAGTTTTAAATGAAACTGGACTGCTCCCCACACATAAGCTTTACAAACAATTTCAGAAAAAAAATCTCATTAGTCCTCATCACTGCAAACCTTAGAACCAAACATTTCTAAAAACAGATCTTCAGCCAAAAAACCTGACACAACTAAGTGTGCCTATACTCTGCAAGTGGTTGATATGAAGTCACAGATCAAAACTTCTTCCAACAAGATGCCTTCAGCCAAGCAAATTCCATTGTAAGCCCAGACATTACAACCCCTGTGAGCACACAATCACAGAAAGAGAGAACAGAAAGTCCATCATTCCAGGCTATCTCAAGGTATGCTTATAAACAAAAGATTCCGTATCAGTAGCCATTTACACAGTATAGATTGAAATTCTTCACCTGAAAGAGTGACACAGATCGGTCATGTCCAGCAGCCATGACTACTTGAGCCAAAGGATGAAACTGCACAGTTGCCAGTTTTCCATTAGCAAAACGTTCCTGATTAGCAGGCAAGCAGGTGCTCATCTAGAAAAAAGACCAAGCAGTTTAAAAAAAAATACAAATTAAATGTTTTTGCTTATTTTGATGAACAGCTAATTTAATTGCTCTTCATTCTACAAGAGCAAGATCTCAAACCCTATGATGAACTTTCAGATAGCACGACAAACAGAACACAGCCACAGTAAGTTCAGTAAGTTGCTTCAAAGCAGCAGCACAGACGCAAGACAAACTGGCTAGCCCTTCTGCTTCGAAATTAACAGTCTATGTAAGACTAGTGGCATTCTGACTCATCTGAAATAGCTGTGGAGAAGAGCGTGCAAGACAGACTCATTTAAGGCTGTTGCTTCTCAACCATTTCAGTGGCCTCAAAGCTGCAGGAGAACTCCATTCTTCCCATGCAAAAATTAAAAACCCACTACAAGATTCTACTTTAGAGTATATAAAATAATTCTCATGTCAAACAATGATCTGTTTGTTTCATGCTTTCATGATGTGAACTACACAATTTGTACAACTGTTTATTCGTCAGAATTTCCAGTTACAGAAACAAAGAAGAAATTCATACGATCATTAATTTTACTGCCCAACGAGCCACAAAGAAGTCAAAGTGTGCACATGCGTTAAACAGAGGTGGAAAGACAGGCTCGCCTTTACCTTCAAAATACCTCTTGGCAGGGACTCTGAGTGTGATATGAAATTGCCAGTCCTGCACAGAAGATCATCATCTTCATCACTGTCACCTAATAAAGACAAAGCACATTGAGAAGGCTAATTCCACAAACATTCCCACATCAACACCTACAAATTCCTTGAAGAAACAAACTAAATCAAAGCACACTGAATAAAGGAATAAGGCTGACTTATCCAGCATATTATGACACTACTGAAAACGAGCACACATCAAAAATAATTATTTTCTAAGAAGCTGGATAGAGAAACACAGAAAAGCTTATTAGAATAGTAATGGATTTATTTACTATCACTTGCAGTCTTTTTGGATTTCTTCCTGTTTTCTAAATCAGCCCAGGCAGGAACTCCTCCCATAGCTCGCTGAAACCTAGCAAGGGAAGGGTGAGAGAGGAAGAAAAAAAAACTTTTTTGATAAAATAATTTCCTGCTACGTGTTAAGTACTTACAAGAGATACAATTTTGCAAGGTTACTTGCACTTAGAACACTATGCGAGTTTTTAAAAAATTCACTCAGCTTTCTGTGTTTTGCCAACTTCCTGAACATGAAACCAAAGCAAAATTGATACCAAATATTAAAGCACTGTTCTTTGGAGTGATATATGCTAATAGCAAGAGAACACAAACACATCTAAAGTTCAGCATTACTATCTGACTACTTTAACATTAAAGCTCATTCTTATACACCCCACTACCTTAGCATCTTCCATCTCCCATTTACAAAGCAATCACAGAATCACAGAATAGTAGGGGTTGGAAGGGACCTCTGTGGGTCATCTAGTCCAACCCTCCTGCCGAAGCAGGGTCACCACTATAAAGCAATGTACCACTATAAAAAAATCCTGGTATAACTTCCTAGCAGACAAATTAGTTTGTGCAACTCTACTACAACAAGTATTGAGCAAATTAGTCTAGACAATGATGATGTGCATTTTATTTACTACTCCTAGAATTCTTTTGGATTTAAAAATACTGCAAAGAGCATAGAAGGGACTAGCTTTAAACAGGCCACACGAATGCAGTGGGTAAAGAGGAAAGTGACTTTGAATGTCACTTTCTTACTGTATATCTTATCTCATCTTTAAAAAGTTAGCCACAAAACTCTAATGAAACTCACTGTTCTTCAAGTCGTCTTTTTAGGTTTTTCTTCGTAAGGATCTTCTCAGCATCACTCTTCATGAAATCTCTCCTAAACCTATGGGTCATATCGACACTAGAAGGGAAAAGACACACAGAACGTGAAGATCATTCAACCTCAAGCCACTTACAATCGCTCTTCAGCGCGACGCGTAATTCCTACCTGCAAGCTTCAACTTACTCTTCCTCAGCTTCATCATCTTCATCCACCCAGGCCGGCTTTTTAGACGACAATTCGCCTTTCGCTTGATTTTCTACTTCGGAACCACTGGAGTCTTTCCGGAGACTCCTCCTCTTCGCCCCATGAGGCTGAAAACCAAACAGGGCAGTTCAGCCCAGGCACGACGGCGGGGAGCAGGCAGGGGCACGGAGCCGCAGCCCGCGACCGCAGAACGCGCCGCCTC